AATTTAATACCACGCTAGAGTAGAAGTTAAGTCATCAGTGACTTACGCAAACAGAATCGCAGGAAAAAGATAGACCTTCAATCACTTATTTTTAGTGTATACATATAATTTAATACATAGATTTAATAATATAATTTAATACATAGATTAAAATATTTTCTTATGGTTTCCCCATTCCGTGTCTCGTCGTTTTTTTTAATTTTACAATATATTTATATTATATATACTTAGCGTTTTTTTATAACAATAAATATTTTTTTTAAATAAATTGCTTATTCGAGTATGTTATTAAAAAAATCTCTTCTTTCAAATTACCTGCTTATTACGTCTACACTAAAAATGGAAAAAATAAAAACCGACTTCCAGGCACTAAAATGTAAAAAATTACTAAACGGAGGTTTTCATTTAGAATAGATACCTAATCAGATATTTTTGAAATATTATAGTAATTGCTTATGACGTCATAGAGACAACGTTTCAGCTTTTTAGGACCAATGGTTCGTTTAGTCTGGGCATTGATGTATCAATAGGATCAACTTTAATCTATAAAGTTGCTGGTCAGAGTTAAGATATGATATTAAAAATATAGTAAAAGATATTTTACCAATTCTCGAATCGAAATGAAGTATAATGAACCAAATCTATACATATAATAAATTTGTAACTAATTGTAATCTGTATATTATTAAATATTTTTTTGGAAAATCTTATTGAAATAGACATTATTATCGATACAGAGGCTGAATTTATAGTTTTAGATTTTTTTTCTGTCTGCCTGTCTGTGACTGCATCTCGGGAAAACCACTGGACAGATTTGGATGAAATTTGGTACTATTTTAGTTGGTTAACATATAAGATACTTTTTACTGAGGAGAAATATCTTACCTCTGAGAAATCTATACTAAACGTTAAAACGTAACTAGGGACGAACCGTCGAGTCATATCTAAACTCGACATATCTATATACCTTCATATTTTTCAAACCATAATATAAAATACTAGCATTGCCTGCTGCTCCGCCCGCGTTCATATGACAAAAAATCAAATACTTAGGTTTTACATATTAGTATACTCTTACAATGCAGTTTTTGTATTTCTTCTCAGAAATGAGATATTTTCCCGCGGTAAAAAGTATATGTTGACCCGGATAACCAGCTATCATCATACTAAATATCATCAAAATCTGTCTAGTGGTTTTCTCATGTTGTGTTAACAGACCGACAAACAGACAGACAGACAAAAATTCTAAAAACTAGAGATTCGGCCTCTGTATCGATAAGAATGTCGATTTCCATAAGATTTTCCAAAAAATATTTAATGTACAGATTCGGCTTGGTTACAATTTTATTATATGTATAGATGAACAACATCCAAACTCAAAAGTAACTAACATTAAAAATAAAAGAAATCTGTAGCCTAACAAACAGTTGTGAACTTTTAATACATACATACGGACTTAATGTATACATCTGTACACACACAAAGGCGCGTTCACACAAAATAAACCAGGAAACGTCTAGCGAAAAACAAACAAGGGTCTTTTGTTGAGTAAACAATTGAGCAACAGGCGTGACGGTGACTAACTACAGTACAGGCCACTTGGTGTAGGTGGCAGCGCTGTGAAACTTATTTAGTTGCATCTGTTTTAACTAGATGGCGTTTAAAAGTTGTATTTGATAATTTAAAATTTAAATATAAAACAAAATGGTATACCTACTATTGATTGATTTTAATTATAATTTGTATATATTTAAAGTTAATTATGTGTCGTGTATTAACTATCTGGTATCCATAACACAAGCCTCGTAGCTTAACATGGAACTAGATGGTGCTGCGTGTTAATGTCCCAACATATTTATTTATTTAAAAGAAATAATAATGATTTATAAGTTAGATTTTATTCATATTTCTATGTTGTATGCGAAATTAATATAAGAAGAGTAATACACATACAAACATACATAGATACAAACATAGATCACATAATACTATACTAGGTAATAAGTTAAAGTTTGGTTTAATTAAAGGTTTTATAGTTAATTTGACAGGAAAATTAAATTTAAAAGTTGTGAATATTGTCATCAAACCAAACATCGCGAAAGATAAAAGAAAACCAAAAGGTCATTATCATCTTATGTATCATATTATGTAATTATCGTAAGAGAAAGGTGGGGGTATATATGAAATATAGAAAAACATAATTTAAATAATTATAATCGCTTTCCTAAGAACATTACCAAAAGAAATTTAATCGAGAATGTAGTGCCCTCTAGTACAAAAGAGAAAAAGTACGCTACAATCTCTCACAGTTCGTAAACAAGGGTTGCTTAATAAAACCTATATTTAAGGAGTATAAAAGAATAGTCATATGTTAATAACTAACGATTCATCCTTACTCCGCTCGGGTTCTTCCCTTGGTACGTCTTAACGATTAGTATAGATTTCTCAGAGATGAGACATTTTCCCGCAGTAAAAAGTATCCTATATGTTGTCTCGGATAACCAGATATCATCATACTAAATTTCATCGATATTTGTCCAATGATTTTCTCCCTGATGCATTTCCAGACAGACAGACAGACAGATAAAAAATCTCAAAACTATGGATTCGGCCTCTGTATTGATAATAATGAGTATTTCGATAAGATTTTCCAAAAAATATTTAATGAGAGATTCGACTCTGTTAGAATTTTATTATATGTAGATATAGATAGATATATGTTAGCTAGTATAATCACAATAATCATTATAATTTCTTAATTCATTCAAATAAGTATTTTTAATGCTTATAAAATATTAACGATGTTATGAATATGAGACGATACGTACCGTACATATTATAATTTATAAAAAAAATTAAATTCATAATTATTAAGTTGATTAATATTACCGTTCCCAGGCTCTACTATATCTTTCTAGACATAAAGATTAAAAAGTATTAATTTCTAAAAATACATAATAAGAGGTACGCGGTTTTTTCACAATTTCATGGGTTTTAATTTTTTTGCACGGAAACATAATATTTAAAAAAAAAATAAAAGTAGCCTAAGTTACTCCTTATAACATCAGCTATCTGCCAGTGAAAGTCTCCTCAAAATCGGTCCAGCCGTTTTTCAAGATTAGCCGGAACAAACAGACAGACGGACAAAAAAAATGTTTTTTTTTCTTACAAGTGCCGTATATAATTTCATAATAATGCATTTAGTAAAAAGCTGTTATTTTGACATTACAGACACTTCAATTTTATTTATCTGTATAGATTTCTTAGACAGAGATACGTATCTGTAATGTTACTACTTCAAGGATGAGAAAGGGTATAGTGATGCCTCTTCTAATTTTCATAGTAACAGCTATGTTACGTAAAGAATAAAACGATTGATTTTTGGGATAGTGAAAAAAAAAAAAATTTCTTTACTTCTTTTCAAGCCTAAAACATACGATTTTTGAATTGTAGATAAATTTTTTGATGTTAAATAGACAATGCCAACAATATGACTGTAGAACGGTGTAAAATTTTATATTTTGTATTTAACCGGTTTACAATTAATGTATAGGTGCATATCTAACAAAATTTCGTTCTAGGATTAAGTTACGTTTTGTTTAGCTTTACCATATGTATTGTTTAGGAAATGCGCCAGCATGTCGTGAATAAACTTGGTGTCGTGTGACAGCCAAAACAAGAACTGTTGATGCAAATAACGTATATTGACATTAGGTCATTCTTAATTTAGAAATAGAAAGAAAAACATTCGTGACACATAACATAAATTTCGGTATTATTTTCTTCCATCTTTTTTCATTTTCAAGATCTTTTAATTGTAACAACTCCTTGGAGATGATGATAGGTCCAAGGTTTGTTTCTGGACGGGTCAAGTACTTGTATTAGTCACGCAGACGAATTTTGCAAGATGATGATGTATGTTTGTAGAGAGTTGACCAAAAGTGAGGTCTCTATAAACAAAAACATATATATATATATATATATATATATATATATATATATATATATATATATATGTATATACATCTAACGTTACTAAGCAGGCAACTTATAAAAAAATATTAAAAAACCGAAGTTTCCCATCTAAACTAAAATAGCTTAAAATAACAAGATTTGTATTTAAGGAAAACTAAAAACTTGTGTTAAACTGGTTTTAACTTTAAGGTTCTTTACAATTAAAAGTAACAAATAACTGAATGAATGGCGGTTTTCATTTACAATAGATAGGTACTAATCTAGAGATTTTTGGAGTCAGTGCTAGCAAATGAAATAATTAGCACGTTAAATTTTTATGCCAATAAATATCGTTTGGAAATAATATTTTTTTAAGAACTGGTCGAACAGTTTTTTTTATTTAATGTAATATATTATTGCCAAATCTCCGTTCGCATGTAAATTGATGCTTAATAATAAGTATCTGTAATCGGTCTTAAATATTGATTTTTAATTTTCTTAGTTATAAAGACACGAATATTAATTGATTACAGTCAAATAATATGAATCAATTCTTTTGAATGTAAATACATATTTAATTGTATGTTATAATTATTATATTCTTTCTCTTTAGTGCGACCCACAAAATTATGTCTGTTCTAAGAAATTAATGGCCCTATAATACCTCTAAAGGTTTGTTTATAAAAATATAAAAAAATCAAGCTGTATTTCGTTTAATATCCATGAACATCTGCTTATCATAGATGAATGAAAAGCAACCTTAATTCAAAGGAATAAAGTTGATTTAAGTTTAACGATTGATAAGTTAAGTCATTATAATGTCCTACAGTTTACGTACTTGAAACCACAGCTACTGGCAGCAAAGTTTATTATTGTTTTTCTGTACTGTTACAGATTGTATTCAAAACATAAGAAGGCGTACACTCCAGTCATTTCAAGAGTAGATGCGCGGGGTGCCGCAGGGAGCTGCACTCGGACCTATTGACTTAATATACTGTCTAAAGAAGTGAAGTGGTTCAAGAAATTTTTAAATTTGTGATATCTGGATGTGTCTTCAACGGGACGACGATGGTTATTACATAGATGCGGCGGTAAGCAAAGCATACTTTTTTTATTTCAATGTGGTACTTTTAATAATTTTGCTAATAATAAAAGTAAAATAAAATATTATAAAAAAATATAAACGAGAAAATTTATTATGTTTTGAATTTTGTTAAAGTGATCACTTTTTTAATTGTGAAGGATATACCTTAAAAAATAAGACTAAATGTTACCAGACAAAAATATAAGACTAAAAAAATAAAACAAAAAATGTGCAGCTAATTGACAGATATATTTTGCTTTTATCAAAACCCAAGGTCGCATTTCATTATCAATTATTTAAATACGAGTTTTTTTGTTCTTTTTTGTTAAGTAATAAATATGGAAAGAAACAATTAGTCTATTACTTCTTTGGCAATTTTAGGTATTCTTATTATGTTCTCACACTATTGTTTGTAGTAAATCATATAAATTAAGTGCGTCTGTATTGTAGTGGCTAGATGTACGGCTGCACATCCGGAGGTCTTGGGTTCGAGTCCTAGATCGGGCCAAGTTTAGTTATTAAGTCTTTCTGTTAAGGAAGTTCCATTAACAGCCAGGAGTTAGGAAGTTGGCGGCGTTTCACCTAAGTGCCTCGGAGAGCTCGTAAAACCGTCGGACCTGCTCCGATCTCTCATCTGTCGTGTCGAATAATCGTCCCATCGGAATTGGAAGTAACAGGAATAGAGAGTGCACGTTGTGTCTGCGCGTACACGCGCTGCACTATAATATCTTTTGCGCACTTGGCTAGTCTTAGTGAGATTGACCACCGTGGTCAAAATCGGTCTGGAGAACAACATTATGTAAATTAATTATTCTAAGCCAGTCTAAAAAAATTTATCAAAAAGTGTAGACATGGCAATCTGAATTCATTTTAAAAATTTGACCTATGTTAGAAATTGTGTGATTAAATTAAACAACTATTAAGTAATAAAATATCTATATAAAGTTTTTATTTGCATAATATAGATATGAGGTTCTTGAACTTGTATATTTAAACATCTGCATTGTGCGTCAGAGCTGGCCAGTTCGATTTCCGGTGAGAGCAAATTTTTGTACATTCAATAAACTGCGAAACTACAGCTACAGAACAGTGGAAACCTAAAAGTATTGACGAAATCAAGAAATAGTCTCTCCCGAGAGGAGATTATACCACAGACACTTCGCCTGTTACTTAAAAATCTATACACATTATAATAAAATTGTAACTAAGCCGAATCTGTACATTAAACATTTTTTAGAAGATCTTATTGAAATAAACATTATTATCGATAAAGAGGCCGAATCTATAGTTTTAAAATTTTTTGTCTGTTTGTCTGTCTGTTACCGCATCACAAAAAACCCACTAGAGGGATTTTGATGAAATTTGGTATGATGATATCTGGTTCTCCGGGTCAACATATAGGATAATTTTTACTGCGAGAAAATATCTCATCTCTGAGAAATCTATACTAAACGTTAAAAGTATAAAACGTAAACGAGCGGAGCGAGGGTGAGTCGCTAGTGTCTTATAATATCGATGCTCATATTAAATATTTAAAGTCTAATAATATTCTGCGAATGTATCTAGATTTCAAACCTTGTTTTGTTGCTAGACTGTTGAAGATAAGCGAGGAACGTGCATAATAAGAATAAATTATTTACATTTCCATTAAATATGTGTTATTTTAATCCGCCGCGCTGTTATCTTTCACAGAATACTAATCACTTATTTTTGCCTGTAAGTTGTTCTTGCCCACTAGTTTTTTTTAGTTGCGAATTTATTTATTCCTTCCTGACTAGGGGTTGCCAATGAAACTTATTTTAGACTAGCGGCTCACCCCTGCTTCGCTCGGGTTCGTCCCTAGCTTGCTTCACCATACAATCTTTCATTACCATTCTCACCCCCTTAAGGGATGATTTCCGGGATAAAAATTATTCCTTGTCAGGGCTTCAAACTATTTTCTTACCTTCATCTAAATCGGTTCAATAAATCCAGAGATTACCCCCTACAACCTTACAAACTTTACCTCTTTATAACATTAGTAGGTTTAGATAGGTGGAATGAAAGTCTTCATAATAAGAAATAAATAAGAATTTTTAAAAATCCGTAATAACAATTTCCACCACTTCTTTAGAAAATCTAAATTTGGCACATCTGCCAAATTTAGATTTGGTAGATTCTAAGGCATATCTTATGGTATAAAGATAAATTAAATTTGTGTAAAATGAAGAGATTCCCATATCATGTGTTTGAGAAATCTTTAACGCTATTAATAAATGTAGAATTTAAATTAAACTATTTTTATTAGTTTGTATTATAGGCTTAATGTCTTGAACTGGACGTCCTAACTTGTTATTCTGATATTTTTCTTTTGTCTTTGACTTGGTCATGTAAAATTTTAAACTCCTCTTATCTATACATATAATAAAATTGTAACTAAACCGAATCTGTACATTAAATATTTTTTGGAAAATCTTATTGAAATAGACATTATTATCGACACAGAGGCCGAATCTACAGTTTTTAGAATTTTTGTCTGTTACCGCGTCACAAAAATAACCAGTGGAGGGATTTTGATGAAATTTGGTATGGTGATAGCTGGTTATCCGGGTCAACATATAGGATACTTTTTACCGCGGGGAAATATCTCATTTCTGAGAAAAAATACAAAAACTGCAATGTAAGAGTATGCTAATATTTAAAACCTAAGCCGGAGCCGCGGGCAATGCTAGTAATTATTAAATAAGTAGTTTCATGTAAAGCGGGGGTTATGAATATTTAAAAGGAAACATATATACTAATTTCCTTTGCACTGATTCACGTCGTCACGTCACGGTCCAGTGGCCAATCTCACTAACCAGACTAACTGCGCAGGAATATAGTGCACTAATGTATGCACAGACACAAGTTTGCTCTCTAGTTCTTCCAATCATTCGTGATAACAGTTCTACACGATCGCTGTTTAATCAAACTTTGGACCGATTGCTTTACGTGTACTTACTTCAAGCTATGAGAGTGTATCACCGCTAACTTCCTTACTTCGGGTTGTTACTAAGAGTTAATAGAATAACTTATATAATTACTGCCCTACCCGGGACTTGAACTCGAGACCTCCGTTTCTGTTTCTGTCATGCTAACCACTAGACCAACGAGGCATTTAAACATAGATTTTAGAATTAAATAAGCGCGTGGAAAGCCGCAGGCTGAAACTACCTAACACTTAAATATAAAGAGGTCACTCAAAAATAGTTTTTTGATAGTTGTTGCTACACGTGTACAAAGCTGCCATCTTTATTTATAAGCAAAATTAAAAAAAAACAAGCGAATATATTAGTCATTAACATTTTAAATTATTTAAGTTCTTTTTGTTGTATATACCTATTTATATATAAATTGCGAATAAATGTCTGTTTGTTTTTGAGGGTTAAATTTATTTATTGTTACTAAGTCTATTATATATGAATTATAGTGTTTATGTATAAATAAGAATTGTTATTTGGAAGTTTTGAAAATATTTCCATGGATAGTAATGAAATTAGCCCAAAAGGAGGCGCTATTCGTTTGCCAGAATATGGGCATACATCATTCATAAATATAATATTTATAATATGTATGTGTTTAAAGTTATATATATGTAGTGTATCAACTATCTGGTATCCATAACACAGACCTCGTAGGTTACCATGGAACTAGATGGTGCTGTGCGTTAATGTCCCAACATATTATTATTATAAGTATGAAAAGGCCCTTAGAGACACCAGACTGAAGTGAGGGTCAGCCACTAGTATGTAATTTTGTGGAAATCTGTCAAAGCTGCGAACAACAACTAGCGAAATCTTATCTTATCTTAATACTATATTATACTTAAATGCCAAAGTTGGAATGGATGGATGTTTGTTACTCAATAACGCCAGAACGGCTGAACGGATCTGTATGAAATTTAGCACAGTGATAGATTATAGTCTGGAAAAGCACATAGGCTACTATTTATCTCGGAAAAATGTACTATTCCCGTGGGATACATTTGTTTATGTTTTCCACTAGGGATTAACCCAAACGAAGCGAGGGTGAGCCATTAGTTTTAATTATAAAGTAAAATATTCTCTACTGCAAACCATTTCTTTATAGATAAACCACAAAATACTAAAACAAAAAATATAGAATAAAATGAATTTTAAATAAGACATTTATGCCTATCAATAATAATAATAATATATAATTGATACAACAAATATTAAATAAACAACAAAATCTATGATAATTAAAAACCAAACTTCCTGGCTGTTTAAAGGAAAATTATAATATTACTGCCACTAGGCGTCCTTGGCAGCTTTTGGCAATACACGTGCTGGTAAGCGATACGCATAATTTTTAAATAATGTGAATATAAACACATTGAATATAAATATTTAAGTCTAGAATATTTTTAAGTATACATACATATATTTTTGTTAGTTGTATTTGAAATTGTCTTATTATTTCCTGGTTTAAAATGTATGTACATATGTTTAGAATTTGAAACGCATTATTTGCCACTAATGTTTGTAATGTAATTAAAAAGGAAATAAAGGAAGGTTGACACAGTGTTACTATGTATATGGTCGAATCGATTTAACTGCCTCGGTGGTGTAGTGGCTAGCATGTACGGCTGCATATCCGGAGGTCCTGGGTTCGAGTCCCGGGTCGGGCCAAGTTTAGTTATTGAGTCTTTCTGTAAAGTAAGCCTCAGTAACAGCCCGGAGTTGGGAAGTTGGCGGTGTTTCACCCCTGTGCCTCGGAGAGCACATAAAGCCGTCGGTCCTGCGCCTTAACTCTCACCGGTCGTGTCGAGCAGTCGTCCCACCGGAGTATGAGAGTGACAGGAATAGAGAGTGCACCTGTGTCTGCGCGTACACTTGTGCACTATAATATCTCCTGCGCAGTTGGCTAGTCTCAATGAGATTGGCCGCCGTGGCCGGAATCGGTCAGGAGAACAATATATGGTCGAATGTACAGTTGTTTTTAAACAGTTGCCTTTGAGAAGTACCT